TAAAAGATTCGATCTTTTGATCTGAAATGTCTACGGTTAGTTCTTTCGTTAGATTCTTAGGTCCTGCTTGGCGAGGGGTTAAGAGAAGGGTTAAGGGGGTTTAAACCCTCTTTAACCCTCCAAACAAGTTCATTTGATCAAAGGGCTAACAAACCCTTTACAGAGATTAAAGTTAGTTAACCTCTCACTTAGAGGGGTTAACAAATCTGCCTGAGGAGGCGAGTTAATATTTATTACTTTTGGAAATAAAGAATGAACTCTGAAAAAGAATATTATAGTAACTAATTTAGGGTATTTATGTCAACTAACCTCCTTAACCTTCTTTATTTGCCAAACACAAAAAAACACAAAAAACTTCATCATTCATCTCCACTATCAAATCCAAACGGAACTCAATTATTTTTAATCCCTTATCAAGGGTTAACTAAATTAATCCTTCTCCTTAATCCTTCTGTCTTAACCTATTGCCAAACAATGCCTTATTGACTTCTTGGATCTAATTATGTCAGTAGCAGCTTCATATAGAGATCGGATGCACGAATTGGTGGCATCAGAGATTTGAGAGATCAGAATGCATTTCAACCAAGCACCTGAACAGTTTGAGAGATTGGGAATAGTTTGGCCTAAGGTACTTTATCAGAAACACATGATCACTTGTGCAACTGCTGTCATTTGTTTGGCAAGCAGTGCAATCCAGGATGCTTATTCGTAGAACATACATGTAATTAGGGGTCTTTGTATAAACTTCTATGCTTGTTATGCTCTGTAAATTCTGGTTGTTCTATGCTAGATGTTCCATGAGCAAAGATTCTTTGATATTTACTTTGTACTTAGATATCAAGCATACTATTCCTATATCTTGAGAATTAATGTCAATTCATTTCAGGGAGAATGCCCCCATCAATCATCTTTATAAATGAAATTGACAGTACTGGGTCTAGAGTGGAATCTGGGTACATTACTGGTAATAGTGAAGTTGAGTGAACAATAATACTCAAGCTTTTGAATCATTTAGATGGATTAGAAGCATCAAACAAAATCAAAGTATAGTTATTACTTTATTTGATCAAATTTTGTACTTATGATTGTTATGTAATTACTATCATTGTTAGTTGATTAATTTGATTAGTTTGATTTCAAAAAGCAGTTTAAGGTGAATTATGTTTTATAGGATTGATATTCTGGATGAAGCACAACTCAAGCCAGGTTGTATTAACAGAAAAATTGAGTTCCCTAACCCCAATGAAGATGTATGAATTTATGTGTAACTATCTAATCTAACCACATCATAGTTTTTATTAAATGTTACTGCTGCTCCATGACCTTCAGTAATAGTGATGACCAATTCCTATCCTGTTCAGTCTCCGTTTGGTAACTTGAAGATCCACTTAAGGAAGTAAACTTGATACGAGAGAGTGATCTAAAAGAAGATTGCAGAAAAATTAATGGTGCCTCTGATGCAGAACTTAAGGTACATTTCCCCCCTTAATGAACACAAATTATGCATGCAGACTGATCTTTTCTATAAATTATTTATTTATTGAAAAATTCACAGCTTACAGAGAAAAGGTGTGATACTCAGTTTAGATAAGAATTCATTTAACTAATTAATTAATTATTTAAAATTAGTTCATTATTTCTCTCATAAACAAACCGCTAATAATAGTTAGTATTATGTTGCTAGAGCACTAATTGAGAAGGCATATATCGATGGAAGATGCATGCAACGGCGATAAACTGTAGCCTCACATTGGAGATTGATCATATCTTATATATCACTTTTCATCCTTCATGTTTCATGTTGTTCGCTTTTTGATTCGCATTCTGCTGATCAAAATTTTGTGATTTATTTGTTTACATATATTGCTCTTGCTGCTATAATTGTTGTTGTTTGTACTTGGTGAATAATACTGTGTTTTGTTAGAGATGATCCTTTTGTAAATCAACATATTCTTTTAATTTCCTTTAATGGTTATTTTAATATGTTTGGCTAGGTATACCTGAAGTAGTTAGCTGTGTTCTGGAGTTTATGAAGCAAAGAATCATGGAACAGCAAATGTAGCTTATGCTTTTGGTTAAACTGAAATGTTTGATCAGGCTAATCTCAAAACTTGGTGTTACATGGATCCTATTTTTCCCTTGACTTGATTTCCTTATGCATAAGGTTCCTTCAAGAATTTTTTTAGCTCCACCTCATGTTTAACGTTTTTACTCTTTTATTGTGTAAGCTCTTCAGATGAAGAATCTTGTTTTCGTAAAAAACATAACATTGTTCTCTAACTCAAATTCTGTTTTAGGCTTTTACGGATATACTTTCTATGAAAATTATGGTAGAACATATATGAAATTATGAATAAAAATTATTATAAAGTAGAGATGAATGTAAAATATGGGGTTTGATGATTTGTTTACTTTCAAAATTTTCACGTTGACTAAAGGATAAGCATAAAGTGTCAGCCTATCATCATGTTTGAAAGGATGATCATTCATATTTACTTGTTATTTTGTGTTGCTTGAGTAATTCACTTTTTCTTTCTGTACCTTATTGTCGGTCGTGCGCACAAAAGGAGGAATGTTCGCTCTCATGGATAAGGAAACATAGAAGAACATGTCCCTTAAAGTTATGGAAGTAATTCTGCTTATTAAATTGTCCTTTTCTACTATATATAGCAGGCACATGCAACGCAAGTCCTGTCCTGACTAATGTTGTTTAAAAAAGAAAAGAAGTTTATAAAATTATAGCTTTTTCCATTCTTTATAGAAGCAAAGACTTATGTTTTAACTCCCTAAGCCAACATCCCTAGACGCTAACAAGTTGAACAGTAAACCAAGTTGGTAGACAAATTTTTGAAATTAAAGATTTGTTTGTGAAATTTTATTTTTTCCATCTGAAATGTTCGCAAATATTATATATCACCTTTAGTACTAAAGCAGTTACATAAATGGACATGTGAGAGGTGACGAGATCCACATTAAATTATATTCAATCCAAAGGAAATTAGTTATTATATGGAATGATCTAAACTTTTGTATTATTTTGAGCAAAGTATAATAAGTCATGTATATTTCATGAGAAACTTTCAAGATTACCTTGTGGTGAATAGGATCTGTTGGCACATCTATATTTAAAAAACATCCTTCAGGAAAGGTCTTGTTCTTGAGCTCAGCCATTACTCCATGTATAATTGGAATGCAGACTTCTGCAGCTTGTTTGAGTTCATCAAGAGTGCTTTTACCTCTTATCCTGTATGTTGACAGTAGAAATAGTGCCACATTAAGTCCATTGCAAGCAACCATCTCCATAGAAATTTTTTTAATAGTAAACTTGTAGATGACTTCTTGGCATTTTGTCTAGCCCCAGAAACTTTAGTTCACAAATTGTTTGAGCTCCATACAGTCTGTGTCACATGGAGCAGTTAACTGGGGTCACGAGTTGTATAAAGGACAAACTGTCCCTTGGAATTACATTTTCACTGAAAGTATGTTTTGCATTTCAAAAATTAGTTAGAATTTCTTTATGTTCAGGGGAAAGACATTAAAGGTTCGCTATCTGAAGTCTTGCAATCGGATCTATATATTGATCATTGATCAGATATATACCAGGTTGCAGACAGCCCCAACCAAGGAAGCAATTGAGACCAAGAAGCATTTAGATTTCTAAAATATATTAGGAAATCAAGATTTTCATTTATTCTACAAGCCTTAAACAGCTTACAGTGATATTTTTGGACACTTCAATTAGAGTTGTTTTTCTTGAAAAAAAAAGTTATTTTCGGCAACTTTACCTCTCTTATTATCTTTTGGTGGTAGGATAAAAATCAGAGAAACATGGAAGTAATCAAGGGAAGCAAGCCAGAAAGTAGCTTTGGTAATATAAGTGGCGTAGATTATAATATATATACATAAATGGAGAATCGAGATTGAAACATTTTCTCATGCATACAATAGATTCCTAGGGTTTTTTTATTGGTGATTTAGTTCCAAAAAGTATAAAAGGTTAAATACGAAAGGCAGAATATAGAATAAATAAACATGATTTGATGGTTTTGATTGCTAGATAAAAATGGAAGAAGAGTGAAGGAAAACAGTATTATAAGAGATCAACAGAGAAGAAGAAGACAAAAAAGGCTGTCTGCTAGACTAATATTCGAAAGAGGATTTATCTGCAGATCTAACAGAATAGGGAGGTTATCATGAAAAGTTAATATAGCAGAGAGGTTTACAGCAAAACAAATTGCCCCAGAGTGCTTTATTTTTGGCAGTTTACCCTTGTAGTAACTGACGGGAAAAAGCTTCAAGCAAGTATAGAAATCATGCAGTATGTTCTAGAATTTTCATATGTGATAATATAGAATTGATTTGGCTCTTTGGCATGTATAATGGCTCATATTTGAATATGTTACCTATACAAATCTATTGTCTGACCTGTACTTCTAGACCCTTTCCCTGTCGAGGTGGTTTATCATTGGTGACATGAGTTTAAGCTGAGCAACATAAATACATAGTACCTAGATGCAACATTATATTCAAGATTGTACTGCAAGATTCTCTCTTTCGCATAGCTTCAAGAGAATTGGTTGGGCACTATCATGGAGATTTGATGTCAGGTTTCAAGCGCATAAAAAATTGGCCAGGTCTTGTATGGACCTTTTTCAGTGTGGAGTTAATTTTCCATATGCAACCCAAGGAAATTCATCGTACAACAAATAGAGTGTCGTCCGTTTAACCTTTCCTTGTTAAACACAACTAAGACAATTAGTTCACTGTGAAGAACAGTAACTCACCAGTTATGTGATAAAGCTACAGAAGGGACGCCATATATGAAAGCTTCTCGAGCAGCAGCTACTGTGCCAGAGTAAACACTGTAGAGAAATAACATCAGATGTTAATTAATAGTAATACAAGAAGATACTACAGTAAATTTTGATAAGTCTGAAAGCTGCATGGTAAACAATAACTGAAACAAGAACACCTGAAAAGTACAATTTAGAAATAATTGGGGTCATAAGTCAAGGACAAAAGGATTTTTACATTCTTGAATTCTGTGATTTGTTGTAGTATGCATCTAGTGATTAGCAAAATTAATAATCGTAACTGTACACCATTGATAATTTTATTATCAAGTTGTAACCATGTCAAACACCAATACTTCCTTGGACACTCCTCAGATACGTATTGGACACTTCTCAGAGGCATCCTTCATTACACAATACATGTTTTAATTTACAACACTTGTTGCACACTCAATGGAAATATCCTACGCTTCTCAAACACATTTATTTACTTTTATTTATATACCTAAACTATAGCTAAGTAGAAGAAGTCATTAAAAATATTGACTTGCATAAAACTACATCAAGGTTGGGTATGGATGAATATAAGTTCAATATTTAAGTTACATGGAATGCCTATACAGCCTTGGGATAAGTACCTAATTCAAACAGGAGAGACCTCTTTAATAGACCCCTGGGAAGACTCACATCAGAGGTAATAATACCCACTTTTGTTATTAAAAATGGCAGATTCTGGTCACAGGGCAAAATTTTCTGCTGCATGCTGCAGATAAGAACACAGTAAGTTTTAAGGGTCGAAATGAACCAAGTAATTTGTTAAATGTTCCCCTAACTATTCGGTCATATTCAATTCTGTAGTTCAGTTAGTATTCGGTTCATTAACGAATAGAATTGAACCAGATAACTATTCAATTCATTTGATTATCAAATATTTATTTAGAGGTTCATCCCCTATAATTTGTATTACTACATTCATATTTCATGATGCAATGTTTTTGATCATTTATATTTTGTAATTTGGGTTCCATACTAATTTTGACAAAAAGAACTGTCAGTTTTTTAAATCATACTTCTTTAACTAACGGTATCTTGTTACTTACATAGTTTAACATTCATAAACTCTAAATTATCAATCAAATACATATGCCATAAGTACATATGCCATAATATTTGATAAATATCCACAAATATTCGAAAGATATTTGTATTCAAATTCAAATCGAATATATGAAGCGAATGATATTTGAAGTCGTACTCAAATTCAAAAATTTTAAATGAATAGATATAAGAACACGGAGGTATTAAATTTGATTCGATTAGTTTCCACCTCTAACAGTAACAAAGTTTTTAAGCATCAACACTAAATAAGAAACGTTTCAACACATCCCAAGTTCCCAACAAATATATCATTATCCGCATTCCTCTGAACTTTCAGCAGCAGATATACACGTCTACAAGTCAAGTTATTCAAGAAAAATGTCAGTTATTCCAATTATTTATAAAATAATATGGGATATTGTTATTTTTCAAGTTCTTTATCAAGTTGTTTTTTTTATTTTTTGGGCTTTCGGACCTAGCTAGGCTCACATGCTTTCCAAATTCTCCAGGTTCCATCAGAATTTAGTCCCCATGAACTATTCTCTATTATAGAACTTGTCAGAATATGCATAATGATCGAGCACAAACTCCAAAAAAGGATATTATCACTTGAGGTGTGGCCTTGGAAAAAGATTTTTACTATTAAACCCTCTGATAAAAATCAAAGGGATTCAGATAATATGACAAGAAACCTCTTCCTCCTGGGATTAAAAAATGGATTGAATAATAACTTCCAGTCCTCAAATAAAAATGCAATGTGAAGATTAAACAAGATATGCATTGTATAATACTAACACGTGATATCCGCAGTTGCTACCAATATTGATGCCACTGACAACCTGCATGATGTAGAATACAATTAGTAGTTAATTAAAAACTTCAAGTTCAAAAATATTCACTTGACTTGACTGAAGAGCTTAATGTGAACATCCGAAATGTGAAGTTAACTAAAGATACATGTTAGTGGCCCAATTTTCTGCACCAATTTAATTGAACAACTTAAGGAAGTTCATAAGAAATAAGGATATTTTTCCTTCAGCATTTAAAAAGTTCGTATATGAGGCTCGAGAATACCAGATCAGGAACTGTGCCATCAAAAAGTAGACCAGAGATTCCTAAAGATGCAGAGTCAGCAGGTGTTCCTGTAAAATTATCGAACCCAATCAAATTATCAAGTAGTTAACCTCAAAATATGATCAGTGAAGCTATTAACGAGAAAATCTGCTAACATAACTAAAATTATACAAGGGATCCTGATTTGCATATGAAGGCATCAACAGTACAATCTGAACGATATTCTGATATGAATTGAGAAGGTTGTGATGCAATATCTTTCCATTCTGTTTTCTAATTATCATAATCATAATCATAATAAAGTCACGAAGAAGTGAAAAAGAAATGTTCCTCTCAGCATATAGATACATTACTCCAGAGGAAAGAATGATTTGCTGATAACATGACCCCAAGTGCAATAAAAGAATCTCTAGTGCAGACAAATGAAATTCCTGGTATGAAACTGACAAGAAACTAAGTAATTGGGTTAAGATTTGAAGGGTTGACCAAGCAGAACCAACATAAGAAGAGTACCTCAATCAAAACTTCCTCTCAACGAACAAAAGGAAACGCCACCACTACCTTCTCCATTCTTCTTCCTCCTTTTATCTTTCTCACCATCCCTCCCACACCCATTTCCTTTTCTTCTCCTTCCTCTCTTATTTTCTTCTCCTTTCTCCACTATTTCCTTATCCTCTTGTTCCTTTCCTCTCTCTTTTCTCTTCAACCAGAGTTACCCAATCCGCTGAGTTTATGTCTAGTATGGGTACAGTTGGAGTGCTTGCCTTCCCGCTGCGAGGGGTACATCGGGCTCAAGGTACAGGGTTGGGGACTGGGTCAAGCTAGACCACATACAAATTGGAGAGACCGCCTTATCTCCAGTCCTAAGACCCACAGTGAATTAAAAAAATATGCTATAATGCTTTATGACATTAATTTTCATTTCCCTCTTTCTGACCCGTGAACATACAACACAAGTCAAATGTATAGGCAACAATTTGGAATAATGGAAAAGTTGTAAGAGCAAATGAAAGTACCAGTGTTAGAAATGTGAGACAGAACCAAATTTTAACAATGGGGGAACGAAATAAAAGCACAAGTTGATGGGTATCATTGAGCTTGATGCGATATACTATAAATATTGTCATCTTATTAATCACATCTAAATAGCTTTTAACAATAATTTGTTGTAATGCTTCATCATATATTAGTTTTATAAATGTCCCTCTTCATGTGTGGCTGATAAAAAAACAAGATGATTGGAACAAGATAAATGTGGAAAGTACATGCATGTATAATAAACAAGATATATGGGTATCAACTATAGGCCAATAGAAAAACCTGAGACTGCAAAAGCAGTAGCCCCTTTAATCTGAACAGGCTTGGCAGAAAGAGGATGACGCCAAGTAATCCCGTGACCAACGCCTGACTGGTCACTGCAAAGCATTTCAAAGAAGTAAGAAGAATAGCAAAATCCTTTATCAAGTAATTAGCCCTTGAGCAGTTTGTCAATTATAGAAAATTGCATGAATAGTGAAACAACAACGATCAATGTACACAAACTAAATGATGGAAATAACTTCAGAAACTAGAAATGAGCATTCTACGCAACATATTTGAATTACAGCATGTTCCCTCATCTAGCCTAGAGAAATATTTCAAATAAAGTAATGTTATATTCCAAGAAAGATCATGGCTAGCTATGAAAATGTTAACTATATACACAGGCTTCACAGGAGAAGTGTTTTTGCGCCTACGACGCATAGCTAAGAATAAACATTTCTTATTAAACAAGTGTCCGGTCCTAGGAATTCATTTATGCCACTAGGTAGGATTTATTAATGTAGGGATAATGTCATTCCTAGAGATTGTAACGCGGTTGATATATAATAATTTATATTTGTGTTAGGAGGGCTCAAGTGTTTCTAAGCAAATCTACTTCTCCGCTTGCCTTTTTTTTGTTTTTCTATTCTTTTTCTTTCTTTTTTTTTTGGTTAAAAGATTTGCATAAAAGATAATCAGCACATAAAAATTGATTTGACAGCAATACTTTTTCTTCTACCAAATGAATTAAAGCCAGAATAGACAGGGCCGACCCTAGCATAAGGCAACTAAGGCCTCTGCCTTGGGCCCTAAGTTGGATAAGGCCCACCCATATATATAATATATATACCTTAGTGATCAGCCCTAGCTCAGAAACCATCCTCCCACTACCGCCGCCGCCTCCTCTCTCAGAAATCATCCGAGATTGGCATCAGTGATCAGCCCTAGCTTCTCTCTTCCGATCCAAGCTCAAATCTCAATCAATTCTCAAAAAATCATGCCGCCAAACAGGGTCGTCCTAGCAATAAAAGCAACTAAGCCTTTGCCATGGGCCCCCAAGTTGGATAAGGCCACCATATATATAATATATATACGCTAGTGATCCCCTACTCAGAAACCCACCTCCCACTACCGCCAAGCTCTCCTCTCTGCAAGAAATCATCGAGTGGCGGCATCAAGTGATCAGCCCCAGCCTCCTCTTCTTCCGATCCATCCAGAGCTCAAATCTCAAATCAATTCTAAAAAATATGCCGCCCTAAAGCTCCCTTCATCGAGATCGGCATCAGTGATCAGCCCTGAGCTCCTCTCTCTCAGAAATCATCCAGAGTCTGATCTATGGCATCTTCCCACTCCGTGTTGGCGGTCCTTTCCGACGACCACCGCAGTCCAGCCGACTCTCCCCCTGCAACTCCCAAGCTTCCTCTCTTCGAAGACCCTGCGCGCTGCGGCGCTGCCAGCCCACTTCCGCGGCACTTCCGCTACTGAGCATGCAAAGCAGCTGCTCTGCTCCGCAGTCCGCAGGCACCAGGCCCACTTCTGCAGGCGCCAGGCGGCCGGTAGTCGGAGTCCGCACCTCCTCTCCTCTCCCAGGCTCCGTCGCTCCGCTGAGTCCGCTCCCACAGTCACACGGTTCTATCTTTCTAACTAAAACTATTTAATTTTCTTTACCATTTATTCATATTAATTTATGCTTAATTAGACATTGTAGATATTTTATGCTTAATTAGACATTGCTAAGTCGGCTAAGATATTGTAGATATACATTGCTATTTTATATTTTGAAAGCATGCCTAATAGGTATGAATGAGATATCAAATTCAATTCTTATCAATATTTATGATCCTAGACAATGGAAATGTATTGATCAAAATTTTATAGATGTAATTGTTGAAAAAGGTCCAATTAAGTATGAAGAAGTAGATTTTCCTAAAGATGAAAATAATAGACACTTTTCTACATCATATTACATTAAAAAATTGTCAAATGGAGAAAAACATGAAAGAAGGTGGTTAGTTTACTCAAAAGATTTAGATAGAGTTTATTTTTTTGTTGCAAATTATTTACTTCAAAATATAGTACAAGTCAGTTAGTTAACGAAGGTACTAGAGATTGGAAAAATCTTGGATATAAAATTAAAAATCATGAAACAAGTCATGAACATATCACTAATATGTGTAAATGGGTGGATTTAGAAGTAAGATTACAAAAAAATAAGACAATAGATAAAAACATTCAAGAACAAATTAATAAAGAAAAAGAACACTGGAAAAAAGTTCTGCTAAGACTTATTGCTATAGTAAAATGTCTATGAAAAAATAATATTGCATTTCGAGGAACAAAAGAAAAGATATATGAACAATTTAACGCTGGAGAATCTTTCCGTATTGAATATTTCTTATATATAGTTGATAAATCGTTTGGCTCAATTGAAAGTAGGTTTGAACAATTTAAAACGTATAAAAAAATTTTGGTTTTTTGTTTGATTTGAAAAAATTAAAAGCTTTAGATGATATTGAATTGAAAGCATATTGTCTTAATCTCGAAATTGCACTAAAACATGATGAAAATTTAGACATTAATGGACTTGATTTGTTTTTAGAATTATGAGTGCTTAGGGAAATTTTAAAAATAGAGATTAATAGTCCAATTGAAGTGTTGAACTATATAAAGTGGTTAGATTCTTTTCCAAATACTTGTATTGCTTATCGTGTACTATTGACTATACCCGTAACAGTTGCTTCCGCTGAAAGAAGTTTTTCAAAATTTAAATTGCTGAAATCTTATTTAAGATCGATCATGTTACAAGATAAATTGAATGGTTTAGCAATATTATCTATCGAAAATAATATGTTAGAAAATATTGAATATAAAACTTTAATTAGTAATTTTGCAGATCAAAAGGTAAGAAGAATGAGATAAAATAGAAAATATTGAATATAAAACTTTAATTAGTAATTTTGCAGATCAAAAGGTAAGAAGAATGAGATAAAATTTATTATCTATTATGAGTTGTTTCATTTATGCCTCATCTAATATTTCGCCTTGGGCAGTTGGGCCCCAAAATTCCTAGGTACAGCCCTGAGAATAGATTCAATGGACAAACACCAGCCCAAAGAATCCAAAGTTCTTGTGTGAATAGATTCAGCGCACCAACTCAAATACAAGCGAAATCAAAGCATTAAAGATAAAAGAATTGATCTACGCCTACACCCAATTGCTTGAAATTCACGCATAAAAGTTTTTGGATTATCGCCAAAATAAAAAAATAAATATCCAAGAACTTCCAAACCCTAGATCGATCCACCCCAATTAAATAGAGGAAAGATACTAACACCGAGGGAGCGGAGACGAGAACGCGGTACCGATCGGAGGCGACGAGGAGATCGACGAGGTATCGGAGCCCGGGAGCATCGATGCCGTCGTCGTTGGTGATCAACACCGTCTGCTTCGTTGCCATCCCTGCTGCTGCTCCGTCCATTGCTTTTGTTTGAGTAATGTGAGCGTTGAACAGGATTCGGAGAGGCAAAGGTTTTTTATAGGTGAGAGAGTGGGGGGGAGGTGTAAGAAAGTCTTCGTTCTTTGGGTTGGTGGGAGTGGGAAATGAATGTTTTTTTTCCCGGTGAACCTAACTAAATAATTAATCATTTCCTTTGACTGGGTGGAGGAATGTATAGTCATCGCATTCCGACTTACAACGGAATTAATATAAAAATAAAAAAGTTATTTTTATTTTCTCTACAATTTAGAAAATAAAATGGGGATGAAAATATTTAAAAGTTATATATATTTTTTATTCTCTCTTAGCCGAAATGATCATCCTCTATTATCTTATTGAGAATGCTCACTTTCAAGTGAGAATGAATGAGAAGTAGGAATTGGGGTGTCTATTCCGGTCTCTGGCCCGGGCCCGGGACAAGCCTAGAAAAAATTTTAAAAACAAAATTAAAAAAATTCAGGCTGGTTTGGAGCCCGACCTGGTTTGATCCGGATTCAAACCCAGATTTTCGGGCCGAGCCGGACCCGCCTGAATGGTCAGGCCTAAGTAGGAGTAAGCATTCTAGTTTTTAAAAAAGAGGTTATGTTTGGTGTGAAAGAATGAGATGTGAAAATTGTCTTTCTATTTCCAGTTATTCTGATGTAAGTATTTTAGCTTTTGGTTTATGTAGAGATATTATGTGATCATGAAATTCTGAAACCGCTGATATACTTCTTTGTTAGTCTTTGCTTTTAATGGAGAAACCCAAGAAGGAAAAAACATGTGGCCTCGTCATTTTTGAATTCTAAAAGAAGTGCCCTAACTAAGCAGTGAGCGCACCATCATATGGAGTTGCTCCAGTCAGAGGATCTAAGATTTGTTTTACTAACATTTAACTAGTTTGAATGGTATTTTAGATGTATTAAAAAAATCAATATATTTTTATTCGTTGAACAAAGAAGAAAGGTAGTATTCTTTATGTACACAAAATATTATATAAGAATCTATAAAAAAATTTGAAGGTGAATCTCTGGAAAAAAAACTATAACAAAGAAAGTTCTGTAAGAAAAGAGTATTAAATTAAAACAAATTATCTACAAATAGATCTCTTGAAAATACGACTGTCTTCCTTGGTTACAATCAACAACTAATGTGTTACTGTATGTGAAAGAAGATCATTGTGGTAAACCACATAAAATATTTTCTCTTATATTTATATTTCAACTTACTCGTATAATGCACATGTATTGCACGTATTCTCATTCAAAAAAATAATTTTTCAATATAATTTCTTGTAAATTTTGATTTGGATGTAATTATGGCAATCCTAGAGGATTTATTTGTAAACTTCTCACCATTAAGACCCTGGATCTAAAATAATTATTTTGAGATTCATTTTTTTAGTTTGTAGGGGTTAGTTTGTAAATTTATAAAGTTTTTTTTTTGACATAAAAACAAGGGATGATCTCTGTTCATTAAAATAAAGATGATAAAAGTTTTAGTTACAAAAGATGGACACGAAATGTATCCAGGTGTTAGTAGATAGAAGGTATAATTCAACTTAATAGGGACGTATAACTTTCTTCTTTCGAAGCTCCATGAAGATGATGAGTGGGCCTTGTCTAGGGCTGTCCATCCGGCCCGGCCCGGCCCGGCCCGGCCCGGAAAACCGGGCCCGGGCCGGGCAAAACCCAAGCCCGGACTCGGGCCCGGGTGGTCCGGGCCGGGGCCGGGCCGGGGCCGGGCCCGGGCCCGGGCCTGAGCGGGCCGGACACCGGGCCGGCCCGGTTTGATTTTTTTTAAGAAATTTTTTTTGTTTTTTTTTAAATTTTAACAAAACCATAAACCATAACTTATTATAAAAAATGTCATAAATTTAATTAATAACTTGAAATGAAATGACATAAATTACAAGTACAAAAAATGATAAAAATAACTTCTTTATTAATAATCGGTAAATCCTTTACAAATCCTTTACAAGTATAAATTTATTTCGAAATTCGTCGCATCACAATAGATGAGTACATCCCAACTAGGTTGGCACCTACTCACCCATATCACTATCATTTGCAACTTTTTTCGAAATAATTTAATTCAAATTTAAAGCTAAGAAAACAAAATTACAATTTTATGAATATTATCTAATCATTATATCTATCTGCTAGTCCCAACTCTTCAAATTTATCTTCAATCATAGCAATCCGTTCGATGTCTTGTGTTCGCTTCTCGTATCTCCACCAATCCTGTAAGCACATCACCGCTTGTACAGTATACGGATCTAAGCATGTCCTGTGGTCGTCGATCAAACGTCCTGCTGTGCTGAAAGCGGATTCCGAGGCTACAGTCGAAACCTGCACTGATAGTAAGTCACGAACCATGGTGGAAAGTATAGGATATGAAACTGATCCATATACTTTCCACCATTGCAAAATATCTAAAGCATTTCCTTGACATCTAACTAAAGAAGCAGAAAAATATTCATCTATTTCAGAAACATCTAATCCTGATGAAGTTCCAGATCCACCAGTTAGTTCAGCTATCATTGCATACCTATCAAAACTTACACTTTTACCTCGACCTGTGCTCGAAGCTGAAGGTGCCGAAGCTGAAGACTGTTGTGTAGCTACACCATATCTAGCTGCATACTCATCATATAAGGTTTGAAAATAATTTCTAATAGCTAAATAATGAGTAGTAGCAGTAAGGGTGGATCCATCATCTAAGTCTATAATCTGTCCACCATACAATGATTGTAACAAACTTCGAAGGCCAATTTCCTTCAAGCATGGATCAATAAGAACACCAATACCAAAAATATGAGGAATAGGCCTAAAATACTTATTAAATTTACTCTCCATTTGAAAAATTATATTTCCAAAAATATCATCCATACGATATTTTGCAAAATTTTTTTGAATATTTAAAATTTGTAAAGCAGCTAAAGTAATAGTTGGATAATAACAACCAGATAATAACATAGTAGCATCATAAAAAACTTGTAACATCTCATTTAATTTACATATAACTGTCCATTCATCTTCAGTTATTCCATAAGCACTACCAGAGCTAGAACTAGAAGCATAAAAATTTATAAAATCATTTATAATTTCTTTATATTCTATTGCTACAGATAACATTGCATAGGTGGAATTCCACCTATGGTCAACATCTTTTGGAATTAGTCTAGGCTTATAATTTTTTCTTTTACAACATTGTTTCCATCTTTTAATTCTCATTTCAGAAGCATTATGCATATTAGTAACTGTTCTAACTTTTTCTATCATGGGTTTAATTTCAGAAAATGCACTTTGAACAATTAAATTTAAAATATGACAGATACATCTAACATGAAAAAGCTCACCATGACATGGCAATGACAAAGTTATTTTCAGAAAATCAACAGCTACATTATTATTACTTGCATTATCTAGTGAAAGAGTAAATATTCTTTGATCAATTTCTAGTTTCATAAGTTCTTCAACAATTAAATTTGCAACATTAATACCAGTGTGTGACTCTTCAATTGCAATAAAAGAAACAACTCTTTTAAACATTTTCCAACTTTCATCAATCCAGTGTGCTGTTATACATAAATAACCAGTTTGCACTCTAGATGACCAAATATCAGAAGTTAAAGAAAATTTGCAGTTTAAATTTTTAAAATAAGAAATTATTTTTCCCTGTTCCTCAACATAATATTTTAAAATATCACGTTGACAGGTTTGACGAGAAAATTTTGTAAATGCAGGATAAAAACCATCTCTAAATAAATCTTCAAATTCATCATCTTCTACTAATTTAAAAGGAAGGTTTTTAAGAACAATAAACCTGATTACGCATTTCCGGGCTCGGGCAGCGTCATAATTCCAACTGCCGAGGGTACCTGAAGAGGATGATTGGGAAAGCATAGACTGCCGGATATCACCTTGTAGATTTTGGCCTTTGTTGTGTTTTTCAATATGCCGTTTGAGATGGTTGGTGCCGCTCTTATGATGAGCTTTGAATATCTGGCCGCACAACGCACATTTCGCATTCTGAGAGATGATCCTACCGTGTTCATCCTTGGTGACGTCTATCTTCTCAAAAAAATTCCATACATCAGACCTCGGCCTTTTTGGAGCTCTTGGTGCCGTAGATTCGTCGCCACCAGATTCAGGATTAACACCGGTAGGATGAGGAGTTGTTGTAGGAGGACTCATCTCTGGATCGGTAGGAGTTGCATGTTGCTCTTCATAATCAGACCCAGAAGCCATTTGTTGGAAGTATTAGAAAATACAAAAGATTATAGGATAGTATATAAGTATATTAGTATGAGATAGTATAAGATTGTATAAGAGAGTAGTAGAGAGAGAAATAGATGAGTTTTGTTGTGAGAAAATGAATTGAACCCCCCCCTTATTTATAGAAGCAGCCCCCTAGGTAAATGACCAAAAAACCCTTGATTTTTAGCCGTTTTTTGACCGTTTTAAGGGGCAAAACGGTCAAAAGACCAAATCTGGCCGTTAGGCCAGATTTGGCCCGGCCCGGGCCGGGCAACGGTCACCTTTGTGACCCGGCCCGGTCATTCGAAGCCACAGTGCCTTTTTTCGGCACTGTTCCGGGCCCGGGCCGGGCCCGGGCTCCGGGCTTTTTGGACACGCCTAGCCTTGTCGTCACTCATTGTTGACATAGATATCGGCCCGGCCCGGTCATTCGAAGCCACAGTGCCTTTTTTCGGCACTGTTCCGGGCCCGGGCCGGGCCCGGGCTCCGGGCTTTTTGGACACGCCTAGCCTTGTCGTCACTCATTGTTGACATAGATATAAGAAAGAAAAAAAGTCAGCCATACGTATATTAAGTCAACAAAAGCCAAAAAACATAACAGCTTATAATATTCTAGATACATGTTTTCAAAAATAACAAAAAAGGGGTCTGTAACATGTATGATCTCTGTTAATCAACTTGCACTGCTGATTGGTTGAGAGTCCAGTCTTGCTGACAAACGCTTAGCACATGAACTCCTTCCTGCACCTGTCCATTCATATATACCAGAAATAGCTTGATTGATAATAGCTTTATAAGAGAAATTTATTTGATTAAAGATAAACATGTTTCTTGTAATCCAAATGTTCCAACATATAGCAGAGAAAAATAAACGCCATAAATCTCTT